AATAGTAAAGACTATTATTTGGTAATCTTAAAACACAAAAAGCATATATTTAAAACTGTGTCAATCAAGTGCTACAATCAAATGAGACTAACACACAAATTTAATGTAATAATCGCCTCTAATAACCAATGAATAGCATATATGAACATTTGTAAAATGAAGGAATTTCAACTATATTTGCAAAATTCCATGCAATTGTTTTAAGATCGACTGTCAAAACGAATATAGCTAATATTTTAGAGAGAACATTCTAATAATATTTAAATATTAGATGCAAATGGACTATTTATTGACATTATATTACAGAGTAGCCGTTAATATTAAGAAGCAACTAAACATAAATAGTAAAAATTAAAGAATGGTTAACTGTCCATTAAGTAGTATCTGTAGGCCAAGTTACATAAAGTTCTAGATTTAAAAAAAAAAGATGAGTTTAAAAATGTTGAGTTTTTTTCATAGATTAAAAAAAAATGACCCAAATGGTGATCTCCTAAAATTAATTTTTATGTGAGTGGGTCTGACAGAGCTTTTTAAAATGATTGTTAGAAAAATACTAAATCTACATGGGGTAAGTTATTCTAACATCACAAGCTAAAGAAATGTACTTACTGAAACAGGTTTCATCACGGAATGCCATATGTATAGAATGTGGTAAAAATTTAGCAAGTACAATATTAAAAAAACAAAAAACAAACAAACAAAAACCCCAACAAACCACCAAATACCATAGAAGTCTTGTTCCTATGGTTTTAAGCTATTGCTGGGTGCTATCAAATGCTACGTGTATGTGAATCTAGGTAGACTTTGTAAGAGTCTTCTCTAGCTGAGCAAGTTCATTCTGCAGAAAGCAATTGTAAGATTGATGGATTCTGTTCAGTGGAAAGCAGTAAAGCTTCATGTGGTCCAGCTTCGATGAGTTTAGGTACTACAGAATTAAGTCAAACATCTACATTCCTTTCTGAGACCAGTTATATGTTTAGGGGACTAACGGGTTGGCCAAATCACTGAATAGTACATAACACTGTAAAAAGAAATGTACCAGTACATTGAAATAAAAATACAAACTGCCTACATTAATTATTTAAATATATAATGTTAATATATATTTATATAATTATTTAAATATATATATATTCGTCTGTATACATGGAGATTTCCAAGGCTTATGACAATTCCTGATGCCCTAGATTTCTCAGAGCAACGGATAGATCTGTGCAACAACCAAGCAGAAAATATGAAACTAATGGTGTTACAATATATTGCTAAAAATTTGACATTTTTATTTCAACTTGCAAAGTTCTTTAAATGTACACAAATCTGTTTTTTTCTCATATTTAACAAAATAAAGATTTCAAAAAAAACTAACAAAAATTTTTAAAACTTATTAGTGGCCTGAGAAAATTTTCAGTTTACTATTCTCAACTAGTGTTAAAGGTAACATAGCCATAATGTTATACACATAATGAGTTAACACTTCACTGTACATTTTAAGCAGTGAACATATGGAATATATAGCAGACCTATCTTTTTATTTTAATCTAGAATGAATCAGAGTTCATACATGGAGTCAAAGGTTCTAATAATCATCAACAGCTACTTTTCAATAGTGATCAACATTCTTATTGTTTCAATCAGACATTTTTATATTCTTTGTTAAAGGTTGGACATATGAGAAGATGATAAAGATTTGCAGTTGATTCTGAGATTGCTACCAAAAAAAGGGCCTTTGAAGTCTGTTTCACCAACTAATTATAATTAGTTTTGCCAAGTAGTATAACATATAGTACATACAAGAATGTCCTTGTAGCCACAAGGTACAAGTCAGCCTAGTGGTAACAGTGTTAAAAATTACACATATTGACTTTCATTTCTTTATACTATATATAGGTTGTTTAAATTTAAAAAAAAATCTTAAAATCAGAAATTGTCATTTGTAGATCCTTGAATTTACGCCTGGATCCTAAAATCAATAATATGACATTCACCTTTACAGAGGAGTAAGAATGCTAAGCACGGGGTGATGATCTGAAACGTCACAATGTGCGGTTCTACTTTCAGAGAAGTAATGAATCAGTTATGTGAGAGTACACACAAACAGCAACCCAGAAAAGTACCATTTCCAGCACTCGGCTAGCCTTACCCTAAGAATTGCTCGAGAGCCAGGAGAGTGACACTAGGCTAGGATACAGTGCAGCAACCTAAGCTGAGTACTGCAATCATGAGCCCATGGCCTTCTGTTCAAAACCTGATGGCCATTAATGTGAGAAAACAAAGATATTAATAATAACTTCAAATTTTCAGAGTTGTTAACTCTATTTTTCTAAGCAAAGCTTTGACTCTTGACATTAGATTACATATTTTTAGAAGTTCACTTAACGCTAAGATGAGATCTCACTACGTCAATTACAGCCTCTTATCCTGATAAGAACCCAGGAGGCTAATGACAAAGCAGCTCTGTAAAAGCAGCAGCACATCTAGGATGCTAACAGAGCACGAGCCACAATGGAGAAGGGAATGCGCCTGCACAGAAATCAGACCACAGACTCCGCAGAGAAAGGTAAAATCTGATTCTTGATTACTTGGTAAACATCAGCACTACTTTGAGGTAACTGAATTGACTTTTTATATTTACCTAAAGTTTTCACCCCAGTTTATAACACTTAATATATTTTAATTTTAAAACAGGATTCGTTATCAGTTCCCTAAACAACAAAAATAAGGTTGTTGTGTTACCAAATCTAATTTTTTTTTCACTCATACAACAAAAATGTAATGAAAAGCTATTGTATGTCACAGATTATTGGGCATGGCAGCAATATAGCCATGATAAAAATGGATACAAGCCCATGCCCTCTTAAGAATTAACTTCTAGTGGGATAAAAAATAGATAAGCATATGGATAAAAATATACAGTACACCATACTGACAAGTATGAAAACAAGGATAAGGCAGAGGACAGGAGGTAGTAAAATGGTACGAAGAATCATAGAAAGAGGAGAGATTTTGTTGGGAAACATGACATTTTGGGAAAGCTGCAAAGATACCTGAGGCGAGCTACTCAGGCACAGAAATAGAAAAGGCCAACTCTCAGACAGAAGCATACCTGTTATGTTCAGTGAAAATGGAGGCCCGTGTGATGAAACCATGAGCAAGGAACATAGATGATGACATGATGTCACAGAGTACACGCGGAGCCATTACTTACTGTGAAGATCTGGTTTTTTACCACAGGTAAGTAAAGTTGAGGGACGGTTTTAAGGAGGAGTGATATAATCTAACGCACTCTTTAAAAGGATGACTGGCTGCTTATCTGATTAAGGGCTGAAGGGTGACCGGTCCAAAGAGGGAGATTAACAGCTTTCTAGGTAAAAAGTCCCGGTTGTTCTGGATCCTAACAGTAACAGCAGGAGAGGTGTAGAGTGGATAACACTACTTAGCTTCTAAGAGAGCTAAGACAGGTCTGCTGAGAGAACGAGGGAGCAAAGGACAAAGAGTGGAAAGAAGATTGTCAAAAGGGCTGTTATCTTGAGTGACCATGACAGAACTCACAAGCACTGAAAGGAGGGACAGACAAGATAAAAAGGTGTGGATTAAGGGACAGACCTTGGTTTTGAACAAGGTAAGTTATAAATGCCTGCTCAATTTCTGTATATATTTAATGATTCTAAAGAAGCAGCTGAAACAAAAGTGGAGAATTCTTAAATAAAAATGAATAAATAAATGAAGTCTAAGTTTAACTATCACCAATGGACTCAGTATACATATGTAAAAGACCAATTTGAACCTGGTATGTAAAGAAGATAAAATGTAACATTTGGGCTAAGATCAAATGCCCCACAGAAAGCTGTGTAAAAGGAACAAAATGTAAATAAATACTCTCCAGGAAACTAAAATTTAAGTTTTTAATATAATTTAAATTTACACTGATTATGGCTTATCCTTGGGGGGAAAAAGCAACTCATATACTTTAATTAACTTCCCACTGAAGTGCTGTTACTAAAGAGCTGTATGTGGATTTACACAGCATTATGTTCCTTGTGAGGATCATACAAAAAGAAAACGGGAGTCTGTTATATGCTAGACACTAACCCATGTCCTGAGCACAGTTGAACATCAACAGAAGCATGCCACTAGCCTGCAGTGGTGCTGGGGACAAGCACAGGTTCATACTGCACTGAAAACATAAGCACAATGCTTTCTAAAATCCATAACTTATTCATACAGTTGGAGAGACTGAGCCATAACTATCCATTCCATAATACAAACCTTCATCTCAAAGTCCTCCTTTTGATCATCCTCATTTTCCATATGTTAGATGTGAAGATTGCTATATCCTTCTGATCATTAAGAATTACTCAAATATTTAATGTATTTTTTCCTACATTAATACTTCATGGGTAATTTATAGATATTAATAAAAAATGTGGATTCTGTTCATATTCTGTGAATGCTCAAATTTATACTAAGCAAAATTAACAAAACTTTCATAGTGAAACAAATAGTATATGAAAAACAAATACTTTCAGGGCTGAAAATAATGACCAAAAATAGCAAATTTTACATCATTAAAACATTCTTACTTCACCTCTCATTACCCTAAAATGGCAGTCTCATTTCCAATGGCAAACAATGTTATTTCACAGCCAAACTAACAAAGTTAATATTCCATTTATTAGACAATTACATGCAGAGCAGCAAATAAAGAAAAAAAACAAAAATCAAAAATACTTTATTAATTAAACACCAAAGCATTTAGAAAGGCATGCCACCAGTCAAAGAAATGTGCAGAATTTGTTGTATACACATGTTGACATTTCTTTAAAAAAAAAACTGCTACTGTGTATACATATTTAAGATGCTATAACTTCCATGTGTCTTTTGTACTATCTTAAAACTATCAGTGAATCTAAGCTGTTGAGAATAAATGACTGCACAATATTACACTGTAATTATTATGATAGCACTACTTTAACTCATCTTGGAAGGAGGCAGGAGCTTACCTGAAATGTAGATGATCTTTTGATCACTTCTTTGACCAAGGGAATTTGTCACTTTACAGACATAAACACCAGAATAATTGAAATTCAGTGGATGGACAAAATGAAGAGTATTGTCAGAAGCCAATAAACCATCAGGCCATTGCCCATCCAACCTAGATGTTTAAGAGGCATGACGTTATTTTAAATAGCTTAAAATAGCAAACACTGACAATTATTAAAACTGTCAAACTTTTAAGATGCCAATAAAACTACCTATGTGTTGGATATTAGTTATGGATGTATATAAATTTGATTCCAACTATTTCATCCTTAACTATCCAAGTCCATTAAGTACACCCACTTCTTTAGAAATTTATTCTATGTATGTTACACAGGTCAACATAATGAGAAGATTTTCATAGCCTTTATTAAATTTCTTCCACAATTTCACCAATTAAATATATGTTGTACATATATTTGCTGGTAACTGTCATCCACAACATCTCTGAAGTTCCAAACCCCTTTTGCCTGACCCCTGAAGAGTTGTTTTTCCTATTCATGTCTTTTTGTGTCACACTGAGTTGACCAAGGTTATTGGTGTGACCATGGATTTAGAACTATTCCCTGGAACCTAGTGGGCTCATCTTTGGGTACCTAAATGAAGACAACACATTTCATCCCTCTCCCCAGAACACAGGATATCCAACAGTTCAAAAAGCAGGGGTTGTGTCCTATGAGTCCCTTCATGAACAACGACTGGCTGGAGACAGGTCAAATCTAGTGCAGCGTCACTAGAGGCTGCCATAGCCTGCACTGATTGTGTCAGGGACAGAAGACAGTACTTCGCAGCTCTTTCCCCATCTTCCTGCTTTTTGTTTCCCTCCCACTCTTCAAAATATTGCTCGAGCATTTGATGGGGTGGTATATGTCCCATCCAGGGTTGAGCACTCAACTATCATTTGATCTCAGAACCTTGAGCAGTCATGGAGCTCCGTATTCAACACCACTCACTGCAGAGGAAACTACATCTCTAGATGTCTCCTGGCACAAAAAACAACTCTAATTGGATGAAAGATCTCGGCATAAAACCATTATGTTAGAGCGAAAGGAAGCTGATGTGGTACAAGATGCAGCCATAGGTAAGGCCTTCTTAAACAGAATTTGAGTCTCTTTAAAAAACAAAGCCAAGAACTAACAAATCAGACCTCATGAAATAGCTTGTGTACAGCAAAGAAAAGTCCTTACAATGAATGAAAAAATCTTTGCCAGCTCCTTATCTACGGAGTTAATGTATACAATACACACACAAGAAAATAAAACATCAAGAAAAGAATCTAATTTAAAAATAGGCTACAGAGGGAGCTAAGTCCTAGTTTGCTTTAACTACCAGTCTGCTAAAGCGCCGAGTCCCATAAGAAAAGACTCACAACTGAAAGATTTCTCAGATCAGACTGGATTTATGGGCATGAATGGGGAGATGTTTTGGCATTTAATTGACTGTTAATTGATATAGGAAAACCCAGCCCACTGTGGGCACTACCATCCTTAGGTAGATGGACCTGGGCTGCACACAAAAGTTAGCTTTTTGCTTCAATTTCTGTCCCAACTTTTCTCAATGATGGACTGTAATCTATAGATGGGAATAAGCCATTTCTTCCCTTAATTTACTTTAGGTCAGTGTTTTACCATAGCAACAGAGATGACACTAACAATATAAACAGATAAATCTCAAAGGAAAAACAAAAGAAATACAAAGGACTAATAGACATTTTTAAAAGTTAGATATTGTTAGTGACTAGGGAAATTAAAACTACTTTGAAAGTCTATTTCACTGGAATGGTTATCATCAAGAAATCAAATGAAGGGCTGGAGAAATGGCTCAGCAGTTAAAAGGATTTGCTGCTCTTGCAGAAGACTTGTGCTTGGTTGCTAGCACCCATATAGTCCCTCACAACTGTCTACTTGTCTATAGATCCAGAAGATTGTAATGCCCGTCACTGGCCTCCATGGGCTCCTATATGAAAATAATATACATATGCAAGCACACACACATAAAAACCAATAAATAAAATGTAAAAGAAATCAATTGACAACAAATATTGTCCAGGATGTCAGAAGAGGAGAGCACTTATTCACTGTAAGTGGAAGTGCAAAGCAATGAAGCCACTATGGAAATCAGTTCTTCAAAGGGCTAGGAGCAGAATTATCATATTACCCAGTTAGAAATATACTCAAAGGACTTATATCCTACTACAAAGATATCTATTCAACAATGTTAAATGATGTTCTATTCACAACAGCTAAGACAAGGAATATCGATAAATGGATAATAAAAATGTAGCAGACAGATACAATATAATTTTATTCAGTTGTGAAGGAAATAAAGACTTACAAGTAAATGGAACTAGAAAAAATTATGAATGAGATAACCCGGGACCAGAAACAAAGAACTCCATGTTCTGTCTCATTTATAGACCCTAGTACTAAATCTTTAGGTTTGTGTTTAATCTGGAGTATCTGCAGAAGCCAGTCAAAAAGGGCCACTGGGATGGGTGTGCCGAAGGGGTGTAGCAGAACATGAGTGATATGCAAGCAGACAGAAAGAATACTAGAGATGGAAAGTTGAAGGTTAGGGTAGAAGATGTAGGGAGGCAACAGGAAGGGAGTAATTTCAATGACAGGAATGGGTAATCTCAGTGAAGTATATATGAAAAGGCCATAGGGAGCCTCGCTAAATTTAAACGTAGGCCAGAAACAAGAGTGAGAGTTTGAAGGGTGCCATTCTGCAGGGCGTGGACAGTGCTACTCTTAAAAGCCAGGATCATTAAAAGCCACAATCCCAGCACGAGGTAGATGCCTCTTTATAAGCCACTACTTAGCTAGGCACTAGAGGCCCCAAACTATATAACTTCTTGCTAATTCCTGTTGCCTACCAGAATTAGATAAGACTAGATCTACTGCTGCAGATATCACACTCCCTAATTATTAGGGTACAGAGAAATCAAGTTAAAACTGGAGTAGAAGCTTCCTCTCTATGAGCTAGCTTTCATCAGACCTATGATAGCAAACAGAGGGAAAAAAGAAAAAAGTTAAGTCTCTAACATTGCCGCCAGTAAGGAACAGAAATGCTAGGACAGGGTGGTGAGAGATAGCAAGAGGGTAGAAAAAGACTGAGAAACCTTTTGCTTAATTTCTTCAGCTATTAATTTAATTACACAATACACTGATTAAAATTAATCTTAATGCATTCAAAATACCTTTCTCCTTTTAACAACTGGCTACTGTGCATTTTACTCTGTATTACCTGCTCCATACGGACTTGAAGGGTGGAGGATTTGCATCAGCATTACATTTGAGGTTAACACCTCTTCTTCCCACAAACCAATTTCCATCATATCCTGTAACTGAAACTTCAGGAGCATCTAGAAAAATCAATGAATGCAAACATTATCATCCTTTGTTAGGAGTACATACAGTATACAATGAAAAAACATTAATGCAATAGGTAAGCTTTAGAAGAATGGAATTTATTTTTCCTTATTTTCAACATAATCACCTGGGAAGACAATATCCAGTAAACAGTAGTTGACTAAGACAATGAATGGATGAATGGGTGGATGGATGGGTGGAATTCAATACCAGATAAAATCACATATGGCTTTATTTAGCAAGAATGCTGAATGTAAGACTTCATAACTAATATTATAAAAGAGTAGACTCATAAACAAAACAAACATAATATATTACTTAATTAAATATGGAGACGTGGCATGTAGGTACTGCCTTAGTACCAAGTTCCTTATAAAACCATCTGGAAAAGGATGTTTAATCTGAGAGGAGTAAATTCATATTACAATTAAGTAATATTCATTGTAAATATAGAGGTGTGGCACATACTTTTTGAGACTATATACAAATACAATAAATATCTAGAGCTTCAATGGCAACAAAACAAACTATTCACTACAGCCAAAAGGGTCTTTAGCATATGTACAGCATAATCAATTTTAATTGTAATGAGTAGTGTAATTTAAACCCCTAAGCATGGCATTTCACCAAAAAGTAAAAACAACAGAACTTCAAAACCTCAGCATAGATGACTTCAATCTGCATGTATGATAATGATAGCAGACCTAAACACTTGCTGTTGTTATCTCCAATCTGCCTAACGTTAAGTCACTCTTGAAAGAAAGCAACAACCAATTTTACTCAAAAATTTAAAATTTCAAACAAATCACAATGCATCAAAACCAGAAACTAATGAAAAGTGAAATGTGGGTACGCATGAAAATATGAGAACTCCTCAGTACAAAGGAGGCAGCTAGGACTCTGGTATATAGTTTCTTACTATTCCAAATCATAGCTTTAAAATACTTTAACTACATAATAATTATAATATCAGTAAGATCAGCGTAGAACAATACTGAAGAAAGATTTTCAAACTAGCTAAAATGTACCTATAAAGTAAAAGATAATCCTTTGTTTTGTTTTTCAAGACCGGGTTTCTCTGTGTAGCCCTGGCTGTCCTGGAACTTGCTCTGTACATTGGGCTAACCTGGAACTCAGAGACCCCCTCCTGCCTCTGTTTACCCAGTTCTGGGATTAAAGGTGTGCACCATTACTACCCAAGTAAAGGATTCTTACTGAAAACAGTAGGACCCAGAGGCAGGGTCAGCAGCCTGGTTATACACAATGTAGTTGTTTGTCTTTTAAGGAGTACACATCTGAGGTACAAGTTTCCATAGCTTCCTTAAGGTTAGCCTCCTTTAAAGCCTCAACTTTTAGTTGAGCATCACTGCATACTCAGTACTCAAACCAAAGGCGATTTGACGAAGAACTCTGACTACAGGAGAAAACGCGGTGTGTAGCTTAAGCTGAACGTAGACACTGGTGTAGACACCGGATGTCTAGTAAGCAGACCTTGGCGTGTACTTACATTGGATGTCTAGAATGAAAGAGTATCGGACATCCTTTTCTAAGGCTGGATGTTTGACAACACAAGTAATTCGCCTTCCTCTAGCAAATCTCGTGGGAAAGAGCTTGTACTGGCTGACAATTGTGGCTGTTTCATTGGGAAAGGAAGTTGTAGTAGATTCCATTTCACCAAGATCACCTTCCCAGTCAATACGTGCAACTGGTTTTCCAGTGGCTGCTATACAAACGGCTGCTACTGTTTCATTTCCTCCATCAATTAAAGAGTCTGGCCCTTTTATCAGGCTCACCGTAGGTTCAACTGTTAAAATGAAAAAAAAAATATGTACTTCAATTAATAAAGTATTTACAATTTGTTCTATCCACATCTAAAAATAATTATAGTCTTAGGGACAAATACAAATAAAATCATACAAGTATATTTTAAGTAATGCCAACATCAACTGGATACCTGGAATAAGAGGTTAAGTTTTATATTATCATCACAAAAATGGCTGTCCTGATAAAGTTTCACCTTTTGAGATGAGTGAAATATAATCAAATTAAAAGATTTCTATGACCTTGATCATAATTTTCTTTAAAGTCTTTACTTCTGAAATAAAAATAGCTTTATACATTAAATACATTATATGTATGTATATATTACTTCATTCTAAGCGAACTTTAAAGCAAATAGCCTTTAAATAAGTTACTAGTTTTGTCTGTCTCTAATTCACACCTAGCTATTATTGCTCTCTATTTTACCTTAAAGGCTATTAATATTTCCTTAAGTACCCTTCAAGCAAAGGGAAGGGAAACAAAGGGAAGAGAAAAGAAACATACATAATGCATATACAGAGCAAATATCCACGTAACCACCACATGAACTAAAAATATGAGCAACTCATAAGTTCCTTGTCTCTCTGTGTCTTACCCTATCAACTTTAATGTGGAATCATAACTCAAACTTGGTAAATGAATTTTTAAATATCTTCTCAATAGAATCAATAGGGCAAATCCAAGCAAATCCAAACCAGACAGCCTTACTTTACCTGTCCCTGGAGTATATAACAGAACTGTTGTTAATTATATGTCCCAGTGTTTTGTTTTTAAGACATGGTTTCTTTGTAGCTTTGGATCCTGCCCTGTAACTAGTTCTTGTAAACTAAACTGAAGTCACAGAGATCTACCTACCAATGCCTCCCAAATGCTGGGATTAAAGAAAGGCGTGTGCCACTACTGCCTAACATCAGGTTTTCTTTGAGTCAACAGATTCACTTCTTTAGCTTTATTATTTTAAATTCACTTCAATTATTCATTTTCCCATGATTTAGATCCATGTGGAATTTTATTATCATAGAACTTATTTATACAATAAGTCATTTATTTATACCAGAATTTATTACGGGTAGATGACACTAGGATTTTTCTCTGTTTTTATAACTCATTCATATACATATCTTGGTGTATTTATAAACAACTTCCTCTGACTTGTCCCCAAACTAAAACTGCTTGTATCCTGGTTATTTTCAATTTTACCCAAACTTACATGAGGTGCCAATTAACTTGAATCTTCAAGGTATGTATCCATATATTCACCAGCTAATGTTATTAAACTATTCAGTATTCCAACCTCACATATGTCATGATGCATCATTAAGATTTACATTTTTCAAGTTATGAATGAAGGTGGAGGGTATCACATATGCTGTAGGGTCATTTTCAATTTCCTTTTCTGCCAAATGAATTTTGAGGTGAGGTGGTTTTTTTTTTTCCTTTTAACTGGTATGTAAAGGTTGGACATAAATCTTGGAAAATAATTTCTTCTAAGTTAGATGTAGCACAGATTATTATTATCAGTCTCAAGCTTATCTTTCTTTTTTCTGCTTCGTGTCTTGTTTCGTTTGATATTGAAGTAATAAAAATGTTATAGCAGTTCAGTTTTTAAGAACAGGATTTCATTCTGTAGCCCCAGTTAACCTGGAGTATATGGCAATAACCTGCCTGAGCCTCTCAAGAGCTGGAATTACTGGTGTGAGTCACCACTGCCAGCTGAAAATCACATCTGTTATTACAGTTCCACCTATTATGAAAAGAGCCAAAACTGTGTGGCATTACAGGCAGGTACACACAGGCTTTGCTTACATTAAGAGAGCCTAGAAACAACATTAAGACAGAATTTGAGAATGTATATCTGAATGTTTTTAATTTAAATCATATTTATAGAAATCTTTATTTTATATGATTGAAAACATTCTCAATAGGATATCATAGTCTCAAACTCAACTCAAGCACACCTACCTAACACAGTCACAGTTGTAGAGGACTGGGCATTTCCAAGTGGGAACGTAACAGCTTTGCATATGTATTTTCCAGAGTCTGAGAAGCCTATGTTATGCAGAGTAATTGTTGCATCATTAAGTGAGTAGTTTTTAAACAAGACTCTTCCCTGATAATCTCCTTGAACAGAGAATCCATACTGAGGATGATGAACTGCAACAGTCTGTGTACTTTTGCCATGTATCTTCTCCCATGAAATCTGTGTTATAGTTTCATTCACTTCAATTAAACATTTCAACGAAACATTCTTTCCCCACACTGCTGTGACATGTGGCTCCACGATAATTGATCCAGCTAAGGCACCTATGAAGAAAACAAAAACATATGTAATACAGTTTTGATAATGGAAAACGTATGCTTACATACAGTCACTCTCCCTCTTTCTTTACACACATACACATATCCACCCACCCATCCCACGCACTCACACACACACACACACACCTGAACAATAAGATCCTGAAAAGAGCTGGGATCCGGGCCAGCTGGAAGTCAGATACAAATGACCATCAAGCCATTCAACAGTGAGCTCAGCAGAAAGGGAACTACACTGGAGGCAGATTCTCCCACATCAAGACTTCACATGAGATTTCAGACATAGCTGCCACCTTGACTGCAACTTTGTGAGAGTCTAAACAAGGGTGCAGCTGAACTATGTCTAGATGCCCCTCCCCACTGAACCAAAGAAGAGTGGATGCTATTTCATAGTTAACAATTTTTAGGTATTTTTTAATATAACAATAAATTCCTATGGAATGCTAAAATTCTCTATAAAAAAACAATCTTGTGAGATAGACCAACTTCAAGAAAACACTGAAGAAATATTTATTATGAATACAAAATTGTCTTTTTTTCAGCAGAGTGAAAAACATTTCACAAGCAAGTTTAAAATGAAATGACACCAAACTTCTCCTAAATGCCAGAGAATCACGACTGTCCTGAAGGAGACCAATACTGATCACTGTATTGAAGACACTGCTCAGTAAATGCTTTAAAACATAAACAAACTGCCCTCAGAGAGCTCACCACACGTCACCTGACAAGGAAATAACAAAAACTATGAAGCCAAAGTAAGTCCTCAAAACATAAATTGCAAAAACATCTTTAAAATAATGTCATTTCTAACATTTTAAATGAATATACAAGTGCAGAAGGAATGAAAATAATTTTTAAATGCATTAAATTTTATTCAAACACTATTTTCTTTCTGTTTTGTTTTGACAAGGCCCGCTACATAGAAAAGCTGGCCTTTCGCCTGATGACTCATAGCCCACAGCTTTCTTCAATCAGGACTAGACAATGGTCTTAAACAATATTCTCTCTTTTCGGGGGGGGGGGGGAATATTGCAAAAAAGTCAATAAAATGGAAAAAGGACCTTCTAACAGATTACTATAGGAAAGGACTAATATTTATTATTTATAGGAGGAAACCGATCATTTATAACACTATCTTTAGCAACCACGAAAGAAAATGTTTTGGTGTTCTTTAAACCATTGCTCGTTATCATGAACCCCTCAATTCATCATCACTCATTATTGACTCGAAATGTCGAAAATAACTAGCTCAAGATGTACAGTATTCTAAGGTATTTTAGTATGAAGTAGGGTAAAGTTAGGCACTAAGCCAGAAATTACGCAAACTCATGAAAAAGTATCATGAATATTGACTTGACTGGAAGACAGGAACAGGACTATCAGATGGGAAAGGAAGGGAACAAGTGGGTAAGGGAGGGACAGCCAAAACTAAAGGCCATTTGAGAAGTCATATGGAAGTCTAATATAGTAGAATCCTAAAATATATACATAATTGAAGGTCATCTAAATGGAATTGCTAACAGGGAGACAGAACCAACTGGACATCTCTCTCATTACCAAACGAAGCCTCCTGTTCTGGGAATGGGGTTACATCTAATCAGTTGTTGGCCAAACAACCCAAGCCACTCTTAGGGCTACTGGTTGCTATCCACAAACTGACAGTAAGGCTCCACAACTCTTCAAGAGAAAAGGAGAGCTGGCCCTTACTTTAGAGCCTTCACTCCTATGGACTAATGTTCACGGCACCAGAAGGGACCCTGTGTGCACAAAGGCAAAAAGGTAAACACCAACCCAACTACAAATCCTTCGATCTACAATGATGTTCCATCTGCAAGATTCTCAAATGTAATAGCGGAGCTAACCAACCAATAATATCTGATTGGACTTAAGGCCCACTCCAAGAAATGGAACCCTTTCTTTCCCATCCTTTGGGTAGCCAAGCCAGGGACTAGGGGAATATCAAATACCACTGCTTTTCCAAGGAACATAGCAATAAAATGGTAGAACAAAATGTTCTACTATACTCATAGATCAGGGTTTTGCTCAGTCATCAGAAAGAGAGCCATCATCAGAAAAACCTCCTCCTGCAGGAAATGGAACACATACAGAGAGTCACACCTGGACAATAGAGAATACAGAGTAAGACACCTTGAATTAATCCTAAATGGATCTCAGTCAATTCCTCCCCCCCACCCCAGGACTCAAGAAACCCTAAGAAAGAGAAGATGGAAAGATTCTGAGAGCCAGAGGAACATGAAGGACTCCAAGGTATCAAGCCCTCTAAATATGTATGTACATATGAACTCATAGAGACAGTGGGAGCATGCAAAGGGCCTTTATAAGCTTGGGTCTGATGGGGTCCCAACACTGAGAAGTGAATATAAACACTCATTCCTAATCCAGAAGCTAATTCCAATTGATAACCACTCACAAATGAAAAAAATACATAGTTTTCTTCATTAGAGTCTCTCACTGAGGAAACAAACACTCTTAAGGCCAATCCCCATGCCCCATAGCACATGGCCAACACAGAACTAACTCAATGGCACCTTTGAAGGTTCTTTGTCTCATAATGTTTTGCCACTTATTTTTTCAATTGTTTTTGTTTTTTAACTTTTCTTTACAGGTCCTTTCCATACATATTACGGTTTTCAGTTTTGTATTTTTATGGAATACCTGTATTTGTACATGTGTCTCAGTGTCTACTGTGTTTCTTGAGCTTTTTGTTTGGCTTTTTTTCTTTGGAGTTTGTTTACTTTGTCCCATTCTGGTATGTTTTTAACCTAATTTCATTTTATTATTATTTGTTTTAAGATGATTGTTTGTATCTTAATGAGGGAAAAAAAGGGTAAGGATTTGAGTGGGTGGGTGGGTAGGTGGGGAGGAGCTAGGAGGAGCTGGGGAAGATAAAATCATAATCAGAACTAAAATTTTTCAACAAAGGTTTTTTTTTACAATAAATGCACATATCATGATACATTAAGCTCTATATTTTACACATAAAATATATAATACCCAGTTGAATTTTTCAAGAATATAAAGATACTTTTTGACAAATAATAATGAAAGCTGACACAATTTTCTCATTTGATACCAAAAAAAGGAAATTTAGTAACAATGAACACTTATTGCCTGTCTTTTGTCAAAGAAAAAGCTAACTTCTAAGAAAACAAGACCTCTCAATAATAAAGTTTGCAAAACAGTCACCATCATCATTGGGGCTTGAGCACAGTATGGTGCATACACAAGTGTCTCCAAGCTGTGTAGAACCCTGCACAGCGAATTTAGCTTTTACTTATACAGACGGGGGGGGGGGGGAGGGGGATTATGGCAAGCAGAAGAAGCATACAAGGCCACCACCTTGATCCTAGGCACACATGCTTAAGGTTCTAAAAACTCCCCTGATTTTAAAAAAAAGCATTATAGACACACAGTAAGAAGATATTCAGATATAAAAGAACTCTAAATTGGTCATACTGTATTTGATAAATGTACAGAGGCTTGGGAAAGAGAAAAGAAAGAGTACAGTCAAAGATTAATGGTTTTGCCAGGAGCCATTTCCCCCAAAAAATATTGCAGGGACCATTGTCCTGAGGAGTTTGCAGAGAGCCCCACACCCCAACGGTATTAAGAACTGTTTTGTTGGCAGAGCCTACCCCACACCCAACTATCTTGAGAACTAGGTGTGTCAACTCGTGACTTCCTGACCAAGGAATCGTGACCTGACCAATGATAACCTCCTGGCCGACGACCTCGTGACCTGCTCGAACCATCGCTGCAAGATTCCTTCCTGCCCATGCCCCTGCCCCCCATTCCAAACCAAATTCCTCATCCAGGGGCTATATAAGCTGCAACCATGACACTAATAAACGAAGGCTTTGACACACCTTGCTTGGCCTTCTTCCTCTCTCCCGCCCATGTCTTTTCAGATAGTGCCTCTCCAGGATCCTGGAATAACTGACCTGCCAGGCAGGTTACAATCCCTAGACTAACTGACCCACCAGGGCGGTCTACATGGTTTTAAAATCCTTAAAAAGGAATAGAATTTTATATGTATTAAGCCAGATAAAGATGGAAAATATACGGAGTCAGAATTAATATATATTATTGTATATTCTTAGAATTTTTTGACTGTTAATAAGTTAACTGCTTTGGTTATGGGAGGGCTACTGAGTTAAACAAACATATATATTTTAAAGGTATCTTGACCTCAAAATTTAAGTCTAAGGATATTTTGTTTCCACTGAAGATGAAAACCTGTGAATTCCTTCCAGGCTAGTATGGTTTGATTGAAAAAGAGCCCCTGAAACACCTCTGTGAACCCTAAAGATACTTTATCCACAGACAGTAGGAAGAAGTTTGAAGAAAATAACGTCTATATTCCCAGAGTTGGGGGTGGGTGGGTATGGAGGGCCTTTGGTTATTTGGCAGGTTAGGGGTGTTTGTTATATTTAGGGAAATATAAAAATAAGATAAAAAGAAAACCATTAATCTCAGATATTTTACAGTGACATGGACCTTTGGCACAATGATACAATTTAAAGTAATTTTGGTATACTGTATATATGTTTCTATTCTTGTTTATAAGATTTTTGTATATTGACACAAATTTAAGGTCAATTTTATTATACTACATGTATATTCCTACTCTTGTTTAAAGTATTATGCTTATGCAGTCCATTTAAAAATATACTAGTCATCTATAATAGTCAACCTTATAGACATGTTAGTTAGGTTTTCTAGACTTGCAGAGATATATTTGAAATGGAAAGGTAGCCTTTAAAACCTTCAAAGACCTACAGAATATGGCATTTAAGATATTTTAATAATTTTAAATTTTTTCAGTGTGAGACACTTGCTCCTGACAGTCCCTATTACTTCAAAGAGGATGATGAGCATTGAAGAAATTTGTTAGAGATTGCCTTCTGTGTGGCAAGGCTAGTCATTTGGGCAAGAGATTGCTCTTGCCTGGACTGCTTGACTATATG